TTGAAAAGATGCTGACTGTTATGGGTTTTAGTGAGAAGTGGATAAAGCTCATTATGCTGTGTGTAACGACTGTTAATTATACTGTAATGGTCAATGGTATAGCAGGGGGCATGTAAAACCAACCAGGGGACTCAGGCAGGGAGACCCTCTCTCCCCGTATTTATTTATTATTTGTGCAGAGGCTCTCTCGATGATATTACAGTATGAACAGTTGGCAGGCTCAATACATGGGTGCAGAGTTGCAAGGGGGGCGCCACCTGTATCGCACCTATTTTTTGCGGATGATAGTCTCCTATTTTTTAAAGCAAATATCCAGGAGACAGGAGTTATAAGGCAGTGCCTTGAAAGGTATGAGAAATTGTCAGGCCAGGTGGTGAATTATAATAAATCTAATATATGTTTTAGCAGAAATACCCAGGAGGCTGACAGGGTGCAGATAGCGGATTGTCTGGGGGTGGTGCAAGCACCCAATTTTGGAAAATATTTGGGCCTACCTTCCTTTGTAGGGAGAAATAAGAGAGCTGTTTTTTCGTATGTGGAGGAAAAGATCAGGCAACGAATTGGCTCGTGGAGTAAAAAGTTACTTTCTCAGGCTGGTAATGAAGTGTTATTGAAAAGTGTAGCGCAATCTATGCCTACCTATTCGATGAGTGTTTTCCTGTTACCTGAGACAGTTTGTTAGTCAATTGAGCGAACTATGAATAAATATTGGTGGGGGAATGGAAGAGAAAGGGGAATACATTGGAAGGCATGGGACAAGTTGTGCATACCAAAGAAGTATGGTGGTATGGGTTTTAAAGAACTAAGGGCTTTTAATCTAGCTATGCTGGGTAAACAGGCATGGCGTTTTTTAACGGACCCAGAATCACTTGTGGCTAAAGTTTATAAGGCAATGTATTATCCCACAACCAGTTTTACAGATGCAACTATTGGTAATTGCCCAAGTTACGGTTGGAGAAGTATAATGGCAGCTCATGCAATGGTAGTCTCAGGGGTGCGAAGGAGAATTGGGAATGGGCAGACAACTTTAATATGGGGACATCCGTGGTTACGAGATAATCCTAGCCCATTGATTCAAACAGAAATGCCACAACAATTGAGAGAAGCGCGAGTTGCAGGATTAATTGATTTACAGACTCATACATGGGATCCACATATTTTGTCTGACTTATTTATTCCTGAAGATGTGGAGCGAATAAATATGATCCCTGTGAGTCCTGAGTATGAGGACTCATGGTATTGGATGAGTGACCCCAATGGGATATATACAGTAAAGAATGCCTATAGGCATATTGTGGGTGATTATGAGAATAATCCAGCGGATTTTGATAAATGGATTGCAATGTGGAAAATAAAAGTCCCCCCCAAGTGGAAAACTTTCTTGTGGAGAGCCATATGTGACATTTTGCCAACAACCCTAAACTTGATATTTAAAAGGGTGGAGGTGGAACCAACATACCCAATGTGTGGTTTAGATCATGAAGATGTGTTACATGCTTTAGTACTCTGTGAATATTCTAGACTTGTTTGGAATATAACACAATTTCCTGTTATTAATATTATTGCAGACTCTTTTACAACATGGCTAAAAGGGGCTATGTCGGTCTTAACGGAGGAGCAGACCCGGTTAATGGTAGCAATATTATATTATATTTGGAGAACTCGGAATTCAGCTGTCTGGAAGGGATCAATGATGCGGCCTGCCCAATTAGCCAGAGCAGCCACTGTAGCACTACAGGCATACGGCGCTGCCCATGTCCGCCGAACCGAGCTGGCAGCAGCATCGGAGCACTTAAACGGTTCAGGGGAGGGCAGTCTACGGTGTTATGTAGACGCGGGTTTCAGGCACGACACGGGCGAGGCTACGTACGGCATGATAATAATAGCGCCAGATGGCTCTTTTGTGGCAGCAAGGAATGGCAAGTTACCGGTTTGTTTTTCACCACTTATGGCGGAGGCCCAGGCATACAAGGAAGCACTATCCTGGCTACTTGAACGAAGCAACACATCAGTAAGTTTACTCACGGATTGCATGGAATTGGCTACGATTATTCGACGCCATCACACGCCGATCCATTCGTACGTTGGGGTCACAATTGACCAGTGCAGAACGTTTATGTCTTTATTTAATCGTATTACTTTGGATTACATCTCTAGACAGGTTAATTTACATGCGCATACTTTAGCTACGTTAGCATTTACACAGGATCAAGTTATGTACTGGGATGCTATCCCACCTGACACTATTTCGACTTTGATTCATTAATACAATCGCAAGATTGACCTTCAAAAAAATTAGTGTGTAGTTGTGTACACAAAGTGAAACTCTTGTCATTTTAATTTTATTTTTGTTTTTTGTTTTTTGTTTTTTATTTTATGTTTTTATTCTATTTGCAACTATTTATTCTTTGTTGTATGAATTAAAATATAATAATATTTACTTGATTTGATTTGTTTCTTTCAACTAAAATAAAAAAAAAGTGAAAGCTATTATGTTTTTGAATTTTTATCCTAAAAGAATATGAATGTGATATTATAATTTTCTAAGAATACATTATCTTCCCTTTATGAAATCAAACCTTATTTGTTATAACATAAATTTTAATTGTTTTTTACACAAAATCTATATTTCTTTAATTAAAATGTACATTTATTATAAGTTGATCTACTATGTATGAGACAAAAATTTCTTTGTACTTTAAGAGTTTAAATGCAAAAATTTCATTATTTAATTAATTTTATAAGAAAAAGAATTAATATTTTAAAATATCAATGAGAGTTTTCAATTGAGCTCCTAATCATATACACAAAGAACTTCATTGATGACTTTCTAATTACTCTTCAACAACATCAATAAATATATTATAATCATGTCACTTTTAACAAATAAACAAGTTAAATTTTATGTACTCATTAATATCGCGTTAAGAAGACTTAATTTATTTTAATATAAAAATTGTTATGACATAATTTTTATTCTGAATTATAATTATATATATATATATATATATATATATATATATATATATATATATATATATATATATATATATATATATAAATAATACTTTTTTTTTTTTTAAAATGAGTATGCAATAATACTTAACTGTACTACTAATTTGATTACAAATTGAAAATATTCATTTTTGTGAAGCAAAGCAGAAAGAACTTCATTACTGAGTGAAAAAACGGGCAATACAAGCCGGCGGGATATCGATCCACACCCCCGAGACAGCTGTAGAACCGGTTGCCCGAGCTAACTCATGAGCCACGCAGTTCGCTGACCTCCTGACATGGGTAATACTAACATTCCCAATGTCCCTAGGAATCGACAAACATTGCTTAACTATCAAACCAACATAGGACAAATCAAAAGAACTAGAATTAAAAGCATTACAAAAACTTAAACAGTCAGACTCAACAATTATACTCATGTGATGTTGCTCTTTAAGCCACGACAACGTTTCTCTGACACCGATCGCTTCAGCCATGTATGGGTCCACGGTCCCCTCAATACGCCCGCTTCTCGCCGCCACAAAATCACCGGCGTGGTTCCGCACCACAGCGCCAAAACTGGCTCCTTCGGTGGATGATGCCGCATCTACGTTACACTTGAGCGTATGCCGCGGAGGTGGCTTCCACATAACAGCCTGGTGAGCCGGATGCTTCATGGTGCCGTAGGCCTCTTTCCAGCCAAGACAAAACCGATGCATTTGATCACGAGCGCTCACCACATCCAAGACTTTGTTATTCCACACAGCATCATTTCGCCACAGCCAAATTGTCCAAAAGACAGCAACAAGACGCGCCAGTACCTCCTCATCTCCACTGCCCAGCGAATAATTCAAAAAACTGACGATGTCTTTCCCTTGACGGATGTTCCCGTCACCCCACACCCCTTCTGCAAAAGCGCAGTCACAAAAGAGATGTTCCATCGTTTCGGACACATGACCGCACATTGGGCAACCCCCACCTATCCATACCCTCTTGGACCGCAAATTATCACGAACCGGTAGTACATTGCGAGCGCACCGCCACAAAAAGTTTTTAACTTTCGGTGGGACTCGCATCGCCCATAACGCTCTCCATGCAGTAAAAACACCTGTCTCACCATGCGTGACCTCCTCTCCTCTAAGCAGCCGGTAGCCATGTTTTACAGTGTAGCATCCCCGGATATCGCCGATCCATCTCCAACTGTCCCGGAAATGAATATTCACTGGTGTTGCCAGAATCCTTCCTACATCCACCTCGTTAAAGACATCCCGAATGATGTCCCTATCCCAGTGGCCCGTTCCATCAAGCAGATTATAAGTTGATCTACTATGTATGAGACAAAAATTTCTTTGTACTTTAAGAGTTTGAATGCAAAAATTTCATTATTTAATCAATTTTATAAGAAAAAGAATTAATATTTTAAAATATCAATGAGAGTTTTCAATTGAGCTCCTAATCATATACACAAAGAACTTCATTGATGACTTTCTAATTACTCTTCAACAACATCAATAAATATATTATAATCATGTCACTTTTAACAAATAAATAAGTTAAATTTCATGTACTCATTAATATCGCGTTAAGAAGACTTAATTTATTTTAATATGAAAATTGTTATGACATAATTTTTATTCTGAATTATAATTATATATATATAAATAATACTTTTTTTTAAAATGAGTATGCAATAATACTTAACTGTACTACTAATTTTATTACAAATTGAAAATATTCATTTTGATTATATTGAAAATAATCATTTTTATTTTATATTAATTAACTTTGATAATAATTTTTACTTATTTTAATTTTCTTGTTGGACATTAATTTAATTGCACAATGCTCATTATAACTAGTTTCCTTATAAACCCATTAAGTATCTAAATTTTATTGAAAAAAAAAAAACAAAAAAAAAAAGCAATGAATAAAAATGATGACTCCCTTATATCACATATTATAATGATTAGAAAATGGGAATACATGTGTAATTATTGAACTAGAGTTTTCATAAAAGGTGTGGAACGAAAAAAGGGGAGTTAAGAAGCACTGCAAACACTGTAGCGTTCCGTCTCTTCCCAACTTCAACATCCAAACCCAAAACCAAAACCAAAACCAAAATAATTCACATCTTTCTTGCCCCCTCTGCTCACCACAACCTTCGATTTCTTCTGGTACCTTCTCTTTCTATATATTCGGGTGTGTGTATATATATGTATATATGTACGTACGCATGTATATTGTATATATGTGAATATGAATTTTTTCTGTGATCATATTTGTTATACTTGAGCTTTATTTCTGGGATGTTTTGCTTCGGGATTCTTTTATTATTTTGGTGCATAAAAGTGTGTCAAATGATTTTTTTCTCGACACCATTTCTTTTGGATATCCCAGAAGCTTAAAATTCATGATTCTAGCAGTTAGAGGATGAACGGGAATTTTTATGTTTAAATTTGAAGACCGTAGTGGAGCTTTTTTATATCGATTGATCTGTAGAGTAGTATTGGTTATATATTTAGGTATGATGCTTGGAATACTGACTTGAAGATTTTAGTTCAAAGTTCAAATTAGGGTTTTAAATTTGCCCTTTTTATGAAACAAATAAAATTTGTAGAGCATAGGGTTGAAAATTAAATGATGGAGCATAGGATTAATGAATTTCTAGTTTTCCTCTAAAAACATTTCTTTATGATGTGTTTTTGTGGATGATACTGGTATGTCCATATAAAATCATGTTTATTTATGTGAATGGTTCTTGCATTTTTGGATTCAATGGTTTTGATTAACCTATGTGATAAATTTTGTAATCTATGTAGTGCAGAATATCAATGAGTTACGAGGGGATCAATTTTACATTTGTTCTTAATCAATTTAGCTATTTGAATGATATTTAACTAATCTTTAAGAGTTCTTTATGTGGATGTTTCATTCATTTACTTTCTACAAGACTAGAAGCTCTAATATCAATGCTTTAAATTTTCTGGGAGCACTACATGAAAATAGTTATTGTAGGCATTGATTTGCTTTATAGCTTGTAATGTGAAGCTTCTAAATTTTCTGTATGTTCCTAAGTTTGCATCATAGAGTTGACTAGTTGAGTTGAATTGAACATATCTATTGTCATTTTCCCTTCCCTTAAATAGTGAACTTTATAATTATATATCTGCACTCTCAGTTAATAGGTTGTGGGTGTGAAGTCAAAATGCTGGATTCGGCAGAGGATTTAGGCATAAAAGATGTGAATACTAAAAGTGAAAAAGCAGATAGTGAGTATGTGAGGCTGGTTATAACTGATGAACCAAGCACAAGTGGAGCTGATCTTTTTCAACCACCAACAGAAACCAGGAAAAGGGACCTCAGGTGGTGGTCAAAGACAATAATGTGGTGTTCTATATGTATAATAATTATATTAATCTTCATAAAGTGGGGTGTCCCTTTTCTATTTGAGAAGGTATGCCATTTGTTCCAGCTATTCCTGCGGCCTAGTGTAGTTATTTTGAATTTTCATGCGAAATTTATGTTGGTTTTAAGTAATGATTGTTAACTTATACTCTTATACACGGAGGTTGTGGGAGTATAACAGTGCTAACATAAATCAATTTATATATAATAACATTGCTTATTATATGCACGCATATCAATACATCTGTAGTAGTACATTAGCAAGGATATAAAAATTGGAGAACTCATACTGCAAATTGTTTATTTTGGAAGTTTAAATAGGTATTGTTTATAATAACTTGAAAATTCATGTAGTTTCGAGTTACTTTGGTGGGTATCAACTTTTCTTAAAGGAGCCTCATCTCCATTTAGCTGCTTTCTTCTTTCTCTTCTCCAACGTAAAAGCATTGACCTCTGATCTTTGCATTTTCATGTAGGTGCTGATTCCAATCTTACAATGGGAAGCCACTGCGTTTGGTCGTCCTGTGCTTGCACTTGTACTTGTGGCTTCTTTGGCATTGTTCCCTGTTTTTCTAATTCCTTCAGGACCTTCCATGTGGGTAGCTGGAATGATCTTTGGATATGGTCTTGGTTTTGTTATCATCATGGTTGGAACAACTGTTGGGATGATCTTTCCATTCTTGATTGGTTTGTTCTTCCGTGATCGAATTCACGTAAGATGCCATAAAAGCTTTCACCGGATACTTTCCCTATAGATCTCTCTGTTTGATTGTTTTCCTATCATTGGTCATTGTCCTGTCATGTATTCTATTTCTTATTTAGAAAGGTTTCATTTTTTTTTTTTAATATCTTTTCTTCAGCAATGGTTAAAGAGATGGCCTGAGAAAGCTGCTATGATTAGATTGGCTGGAGAAGGGAGCTGGTTCCATCAGTTCCGAGTGGTTGCTTTGTTTCGAATTTCACCATTTCCATATACAATCTTCAATTATGCGGTAGTAGTTACAGACATGAGATTCTGGCCTTATTTCTTTGGATCAGTTGCAGGAATGATTCCTGAATCTTTTGTCTACATCTACAGGTAGTTGTCCCCCTTGTCCCTTCTCCTTTTGGTCTCTCTCTATAATCTACTGTATATATTTTCCTATCGAGTTAATGCCATCTGGGGTCCTCCTAGTATAGTGGTTTTTCCATTCCTAAACTTTCAAGTTAATCACCCGTGGTCCTTCAACTTTCAAATTTTAACCAGTCGTGGTCTTTCTGAAAGGACTACAATTTGTAAAAATTTGAAAGTTGAAGAACCTCAGTTGGTTAAAATTTGAAAGTTGAAGGACCACGGGTGGTTAACTTGAAAGTTTAGGACTAAACGTGGCAGAACCACTATACTTCGGAGGACAACAAATGACATTTAACTCTTTTCCTATCACTGAATTGCTGGTTTTACATGATTGGTACTAGGTTCCATGACCATGAGAATTATACTTCCAAACTTTCCTATGCCTACAGCTGCTTTATAAATAACTTGGCTTAATTTCTCAGTAAAATGACATTATTTATAAGAATATTTTACTGAATATTGAGTGTTTGCTTCATTTCATCTTAGTGGTCGGCTCATAAGGACATTTGCGGATGTAAAATATGGGGACCATCACTTGACCAAAGTGGAGATCATCTACAACGTAGTTTCATTCATCATTGCTATTATTATTATAGCTATTTTTACAGCATATGCAAAGAGAACACTGAGTGGGCTTCAACAGGCAGAGAGAAATGGCGGGGAAAGTCCCACTACTTCCAGCATTGCCAAACTCGAGATGGAACCACTCCCCCTTGAGAAACCCATTCTCAATGCTTTTGTAATTTGAATAGTGAAAAAAGAATGAATACAGTAAAGAGAAATTGGGTTTGGGAGAGAGAGAGAGAGAGAGAGAGGGAGTTTTGAATTAAAGTTGAATGTTAATGAGAGAGCTGAATTGTTGATGAGTTGGGTAGGGTTTCAGATATGGTAATGCTTTCAATTGGCTGTGTGATGGAGTGTGCAGATGCAGGCTTCCCAGCCCATTGTAGGATTGTATTATGAAGCATATGATTAAACATCCCTTCTTTAAAGCTACTTCCCATCTGCATATAACAAAATGAAGCTTTCTTATTTAGGTAAAGGCATTTCATTGAAGAAGAAATTTTGATATTTTGCACGAATTACCTACCTGAGTAACCAACGCATACAAAGGGAACGTGCTGTAACTGCACAGAAATTGAACAACCGCCCTGCAATTATAAATTCCAAAATTATTTATTTATGACCTCTGTTGCAAAAATTGACCTAGGCACCGATTAGGTGCTAAGAGTATCCACACTAGTCTTAATTTTTTTGTGGTTTTTGTCATTCTGCGTTGGAAAGAGAGGGCCAGAGTGCGTGAAACGTGCATCGGCCAAGTTTCTTTTTAGATTTAAGCTGTCAACGTGGGGCCCTCTAAAATACTTAACTTGCAAGAGGTAAAAACCCCCAAAAAAACCACAACTCCCACTAGTTAAAAATCAATTGTTCGTTTTTTCTTCCTCAAAATTTGAACAAAAACCACTGATGTGGTTGCTTTAAGCGCCCTTAGGCGGAAGGGATTTTACACTTTGGCGGATATTAGTTGGCTGACTAGGCGGACTAGGCGCCTGAGTCGGCAAAACTAGGTGCCGAGTCAGCCAACTAGGTACTCGAGTTGGCTAACTCGGCAGAGTGTTTTGCGTGCGTGCGTGTGCGCGCGTGCGTGTGTGTTGTTTTTCTTATTATTATTACTCGGCCGCTTAGGTGCTCTAGACGCTAGGCGGTCCCTGAACGCCCGACTAGCGTGTATCACCTTCTAAAACATTGTGTAGGACTAAGTCTAAACATAAGGATTAGGATGAAGATGAAACAATTTACCCCATTACAAGCCTTGGGATGGTGAAACTCAATCTTTCCATGATGCATGATCTAGCTCCATAAGTATACTGAACAACAAAAGAACAACATTTTATTCAGTCCCATAGCTTGGTAATGTTATGTTATGAATGAATGAAAGAAAAGAATGAAGTTAATTTTTCTTACCATAATCCACACAAAGAATGCAATCTCAAAAGAGTTTTGGAACAAAATGAAGTGAATTATGTAAAGCACCAGTTTTGGGCTTCTGAACCAAAACAACTCATCAGAAGGTCTGATCACTGCTTCACCACCACTGCCAGTAGTAGTGTTCCCTTCTGCAAAGTCTTGTGCCAGTTCACTAATTATGTGTTCTAATTTTGTTCCCACAACAAGAAGTAGCTGCCAAACATTATACATTAACATTGTCAATTTAATGTAAGTCACCTGGTAAAGGCCTTAGCTTCTACCAAAAGCTCAACGATTCACCAAACATCTTAGGCTCTGTTTGATTGTGTGATAGAGCTTATTTTAGAGCTTATAGCTTATTTTATACTACAAATAAATTAATAGCTTATTTAACTAATAGTTTATTTTGAAACGCTACCCCAAGTAGCGTTTCGAAATGAGCTCATGACTTTTAACTTTTTTCCTTTTATCACTTTATTAATTTACAAAAATGACACTATATATCCTTCATTAATCAAAATTCTAATATCTTAAGTATCCCTTTATGCCTTTTACACTTATCAGCTAATTCAATAATTAATTTTACCAAACACTTTGTTAATTTATTCGTTACTTATTTTTCAGCTTTTAACTTCCAGTTAACTTTTAGCTAGACGTGTCAAACAAATTCTTAATCCTTTGGCTATACTTTACTTTTGAGTGTATTATGATATATTGTAATACATTTTACTAGAGTATAATATTATTATATTGTATCAAGATTTTTTTTTTTTTAAAAAAAAAAAAAGAAAGAAAGAAAGAAAAACCACTTACAATCAAAGGTAGAAATGACAGCCAAAAATAGGTGTGCCATCCTGCATAACATAGGTAGAATTTGTTCTGAATGCATCAAGGGACAAATAAATACTTAAATACAAACAAGTATATATGTAGAAGGGAATGTATATGTACCTGATATGTTCAACAGCAAGAATGCAACAACAAACACCCACAAGTACCAACTGTACATTTTACCAAAATTATATCACTCTACTCCAAAACTATTATTTAATTCTTTTTTTTTTTCTTTTTGTGGAAATTAAAATACAGGTTTACCTAATGCCCACAATCCTTCTGAAATCATGTTCCAGTGTTCTCAGCATGTACTTGTGAAAATCAAAATTAGGATTCGTAGGACAGTGTGCCTGTAACCAAACAAAAAAAAGGGAAATTAAATGAACACACACATATATATGGTGATATTCCTATGAGAACCACCCTCCCATGAGTCCATGAAAATCAATCTAGTGCATTGAAAAAATAGATCTATGAATGAGATCAATTAGGGGTCTAAAACTCGCGTGTGCGTATGGGGCATGTGTTGTGTGTAATTGGAAATTTCAAAATTTGCGTGTGCGGATGTGTTGTGTGCAACATAGGATATGCACATAGCACATGCCCCGTATGCACACGCGAATTTTGAACCAACAATTAATCTCATCCATAGATCTAATTTTTTAATGCACCATATTGGTTCTTATAAACTCATAGTGGTTCTCGTATGATCACAATGTGTTAGGTAATGCAATTACTCCCTAATTTTTCTCCAATCACTTTCCTCACAAAATTATATGTGAGGATATATTTAGTTTGTTGGATAGCCGTCATCAAGCCCTTTGATTAAGGTGCTGGACTATTGCTGTGTGGATCAGAATAAAATGTATATTTTTAATATGCTAAATGTATATTATTTGTGTACTTACATTATACAATATAATGTATACTCAGTACACAAATAATGTGCATCTTCTGAATATAATGTACATTTTTAATATACTAAAAGTATATTATTTTTGTACTAAATGTACATTATTTTACAGTATACAAAATATGGTCTATACAGTTTGTGTGGACCATGGTCCACAAAATAATGATTGTTTGATTAAGGTCAATTTGTGGTTTGTTCAAAAAAACTAAAATTTCATGTGCATCCTCTTAGATTATTCTATGTTGTGGTGATTAGTAGGGTCTTAATCTTAACCCAAATCTGATCGCTGGTCTGACAAGACAAAAAACTTAAGGGTTAGGGAAAATAAGGCTTTAGTATGATTAAAAAAAAAAAAAAAAAAAAAAACTCAAAATTCACAAGCTTGTTGACTTAAGTGGGTTAGCCAAAAATTTAGTAGGGCTAACCTGATAATCTATCCTGCTCAAGGCTACTTTTTGTTTCACAAGTGGTGTTAAACAAAATATATATGGGAGTTTTTATCTAAGCTCCTTTTAATTTAATTTTTTATTTAATTTTTTATTAAAATTTTAAATAAAATTTTAATATTTTTATGGAAAAATAAATTTTATTTTATGAAAATAAATTATAAAAGATAAAAACTTATTATAATTATTATATTATAAATGTAAATATATTAATTATTTTTATTTGTAAAATTTTAAATAAATATAAGATTTAATTACATATTTTATACAAATATCAATAATTGTTACATTATGTTTTTGAGTTGGAACTTAAAAATAGAGATTTGAATTGATTAAATGATATTTTAAATTTATATTTATAATATAAATTTTAGTTTAAAATGAAGTTTTAGAATATTAATTTAAAAATGTCAAAATTTTTAGCACAATATATATCCAAAAATTTTAGGGTTAAGGCAAAAAAAAAAAAAAAAAAAAAAATTCTGATAAAAGTACGATAAAGTTAAAACCGGTAAATTTATCTGTCGGATATGACTGACTTAAAAACGAATTGGTTATCCTGATTGACATCCCTAGATTAGATTTGAATTCTAGGAAGGTGAAATATTTTAGCCTATTATGAGCACTACATTTTGGATATTTATTTTTAGCCATATTTTTTTGTGTATTGATGGAGAAAAATTAACCCCAAGATAATTTTTTTAAAAAAGAAGGAAAATGGTTAAAATAAAAGGGTATTTGGTAGCCTAGAAAGCTTAAACATTCTTGTGAATTTAAAATGTGAAAAAATTATTCCTACGTTTGGTGCAATCTTTGACTTAGAAAGTTCAGGTCAATAAAAATCTAATTCCATGATATCAAGAAAAGTAAATCTCACTCGGGAAGGTAGGATTTTTTTTTTTTCAGGTGACTAGGAATTTACCAAATTTATTCAATTACGTATTTATCCTTTTTGGCGCCATGTTAAAAGTCTCTTAGAAATAATTTCCTCTGTCCAACATTGACATCTCCAACCTCGATCGGCTAGTGGCACCATCACCGACCTTGGTTGATCATTGATGCCATCACCAATCTCAGTTGACTGGCGCCTATCCTTGACTCCCAAATGATATTGCTCATCCTCCTTGGGAAATCGATTCCTAAACTTTTTCTAGCATTTCACCAACCCGAGTTAGACTTGGGGCATGGGTCAAGATTAATTCTACAATATTATTCCCTCTCATTGTTGGGAGGAGTGTGGGCTAGTGAAAGATATATTGGACTTGGCCCAAGAAGCTCAAGACTTGGACCAAGGTTGCCAACCCTAGGGTTGGTCTAAGAGGGCAAATTATATTATGCACCGTACGTCTTTTTTTTTTAAATGAAAATTAACAGTGTTTATTTCCGCCGTTTTGCACCCTTTTGCAAAAAGTAACTCTGTTATTCAGTGTCATTTTGTATACACTGCAGTTTCAGTTGAACACAACTACAGTTTCATTTCGATATAACTATAGTTTCATTCGATATTTATAGACTCAAATATGTGAAAATGTTATTTAATTTTATTTTATATACACTATAGTTTTATTAAAACACAACTACATGATCATTTTGATATAATTACAGCTTCATTGTACAATATACACTCAAATATGTGAAATGTTATTCAGTTTCAGTTTATATACACTGCAGTTTCATTTCACTATAACTACAGTATCATTTTGATATAACTGCAGTGTTGGTTTGGATATACTGTAGTGTCAGTTGCTATTTAATACACCAAACAAACGGACTCCGTTAACTCTAACGGCGGGCCGTTTCTTTACTTAAAGAAACGGCGCCGTATATGGGCCGCGGTGCATAATCGATTATGCACCGCGGTCTATAATATAACAAATGGTCTAAGAGGGTCAACATGAGAAGAGGGAGTTAGGTCGACACGTGGGGTTAGAGAAACAAAGTTAACCAATAATCATTACCGTCGTTACAAGTGCTCGCTTTGCTCGAGAATGCCCGAGTCATGCAAGGTGGTACTAAAGGAGTCATTGGACTTCTTATATAAATATGTAGAATCTTGTCTTGTTGGGATCCCTTTTGTGTCATTACCCGTCTTTATTTTGTACTCTCAAAACAATTTATACCTAATATAACAAATCTTTTGAGTATTTCTTTTATATTAACCATTTTCCCTTTTTGTTATTATCTTGGGTTAATTTTTCCCATCATATAGATGTGGATGTTAGCCTACATTTGTTACGTTTGAGAAGTTAGATAAAACCATAATGAATTGTGGAAGAGTTATGCCGTTTATTTAAAATACTTGAAAGTGGGCAGGCATCTAGCTAATGTGAATTATCTACTTTTAAATGTGATAATATTGGTCTTAAAACCATTGACGTTGGATCCACCTTGCTTCAATTGAGAAAATGCTTAATAAATTTAATTGTTTTGAAAATTGATGAACGCTTTTATGAAAGACTATGGACTATATTTTTAGAATACTCATGAGAATATGATCAATTTTTGTAGCTAATACTTTTTATTTATTATATAACTTGCATAAGGTAATTAAAAAGCTAATACACATGTCATTTGTTCAAATCTCTTATCTTAGACTTCAAGAATCTTTAAATTGTTAGACAACAGAATACTTATGTTAGTATGTGTTAGTTAGTGAAAAATATTTTATTACTTTAAAAATACTTTATTATTGTAACTACTTTGCGTTACATTAGTGCGGATTGTTAGATTCTGTTTGACATACTCAGCTTATAAACTAGCCTAAAGCTGATAACTTTAAAGCTAGTAGTTACTAGCTTATTTTAAAACGCTATTTAAAGTAGTATTCCAAAATAAATTATTACTATTAACTTTCCATATTTTACAAAACAGTATTTATAGCTTATTTGTAGTTTAAAATAAAGTATAAGCTCTACCAAATATAACCATAATTTGCCTTGTTTTGTTTGATTTTCAACTGTGTTAATTATTTCTTACATGTATCTGTGTGTGGATGGATAATTAGAAATGTTAAATTAATAGTTAGTCTTGTATGGAACTATTTTATATGAGATATATAATAATTTTTAATAAAAAATAAGTTTTTTTTTTTTTTTTTTTTTTTTTTTTTTTTTTAATGATGAATCTCGATCATTAAAAAAATATTATATACATTAAAAATTATTAATTATTAATGTGAAAGATGAGGATCTTACATTTATAAATCCTGATCGCAGCACAACGTAGTCAGACTTGGTAACTGAGCCATGGAATTGTTTGAAGAACGCTGCCTAAAAAAAGCATATAAATTATTATATATTGTGCAAACCATATACTATCAGTTTTTACTCTAAAAATATAATAATGAAGTTTACTGAATATTTTAAATATAATAATTTTTAAATTAAGTACTATGACATTCATTGTTTTATATTCAATTATCAACCAACATATAATATGCATCAAAATAAGATAATATTTTAACCATTACAAAAATCATGTAAGACATGCATATACTCTTGATATAATTTGAATAAGAATAATATTATTTTCTCCTCTTAATTTGACTTTCTAAATGTGACGATAAAACTTTGTTAATTCATTGATTACCGTGATAATTCTACCTCGTGTTAAAAAATGAATATACTTATGAATCAAATACGGAAAATAAATGATATATTATCAATGGAAAGAAATGAATATTAGGTGATAAAAATAAAAAGAGAATGTGACATTACTCTTTTTTTTTTTTTTATTATAAGGAAGGGGGATACCCTACATATACACACTATTGCCTCAATTGAGGTTTGAACCTTACACCTCCCACTTAGGGGAGCAATCCGATACCAGTGGACTACAAGCCACTTGGTAATGTGACATTACTCTTTAAACAAATGTAAGTTATGTTTGACACGGCTAGCTAAAAAGTTAATTAAAAATTGAAAGTTAAAAATTTAGTAGCTAATAAGCTAACTAATTGATCAAAATCAAAATGTTTGGTAAAATTAATTGTTGAATTAGCTGATAAGAGTAAAAATACATACAAGAATAAGCTAAGATATTAGGATTTTGATTAATGATAAAAACACATGCTAGGATAAACTAAGATATTAAGATTTTGATTGATGAAGGATATATGATTTCATTTTTGTAAATTAATAAATATAAAAAAGGAAGGAAAAGAAAAACCAGTAACTTATTTTGAAATGCATTTGAAAATAAGTTATTATTTTAAACTTTCCATGGTTTACCAGAGCTTATAACTTATTTGTAATTTAAAATAAACTATAAGTTCTAAAATAAGCTCAACCAAACAGAGCTTACTATATTTTACTATGGGAAAATTAACTTAGAGCTAGTATTTTACCCATCAGTCTCATTTTACATGTACTATTCATTGGTCAAACCAACTCTTTTATTCTCTCTGCTCATTTTATCAGTCATACTTACTATTCCTTGGTCAAACCAACTCTTTCTTCTTTGTTTATTTTCTTTAGTATTATTTATTTATTTTTTGTGTTTAATAGTACTTTTAGTGTAGTTTTTAAATATATAAATTTTGTATACTAATACTAAACTTAATATTATGAAAAATTGGATTAAAAATAACTTCAGTCATTCAGTCAAATCTCGTTAATCGAATCAGACACATAAAACGGGACGGGCGGAGTATTTATTTTATTTTATTTATTTATTTATATTTTTGTGTGTGTTTAATAGTACTTTTAATGCAATTTCTACATATATGAATTTTATATACTAATACTAAGTTTAATATTATGAAAACTTGAATTAAAAAAAAACTAGAGTTAAGCCTCGTTAATCGAATCAGACACATAAAATGAGGCGGATGAATTATTATTTAGTAATGAATAATACTCGATCGTTATGTTATTCTATAGTGATTATTATTTGAATTAAATAGAACTAAAAAAAATCCACATAGATAGACAATATATATATATATGTTACTAACCAGCCAACTTATAACTGTAAACTTTCTCCAATATCTGCCTGCTCTTTCCTTGAATGATTGCAGATGTCGTATATGCAACCTATGATGACCTACAACAAAACGTACGGTTCCATTCCAATGCAAATATATCATTAATCAGCTAATTTAGGCAATGAATTGGAGTTTTTAAACTTATTTTCTAAACAAGGATACTTTTATTCTTATCATTGCTATATATATTTTAGAAACAATAAGATATTAAAATATTATCAATAAAATTCAAACCCAATACCTTTAATATAACACCATAAAACCCTGACAACTCTACTAGATCAGACTACTACAACCCTGCTCGCATACTATACGCTTAGCTCACTAGTTAAGTAGGCAGTATTTGGAAAAAAAGACCTAGGTTTGAATTATATGTTCATAATTTTTGAACTATATATTCATAATTATGAACAATTTTAGAACTGTGTCCACCTTGCAAGATGGACACGGTTCCACAACATAATTTGCCCAATACAAAGCAACTTACGAGTTCAGTAGGCTTGGCTTAGTGACTTACTATTTATAATGTAATAAAGATTGACCTTATTATTCATAATGTAATAAGGATTGAGCTTCCTACTTCTAATGTAAGTATGTAACAAAGATTCCAATATGAAGCAGTCTAGCTAGGAGTTTTATTTCTTTTATGGCTCTCAGACCACTTGAATAAATAGGAATCATTACAGTTGTGTAAATCATATTATCAAATAATGTACATTCAGTACACAAATAATGTACTTTTATTATATTAAAAAAGAATAAGGGTCAAATAGGCCACTCAACTGTACACCAACGTGCAATTAGGCCATCAAACTAAAAAACAATGCAATAGGTCTCTGAACAACACAAACTCATACAATTCAACCCAAAATGACTTATTTACCTAGGAGTATGCTGATGTGGCGATTATCAATTTAAAAATAATTTTTTAAAAATAATTAATTAAAATAAATAAAAAAAAATTAATTTTTTTTTAAAAAAAGAACAGTCGGATTCCTCTCCGGCCGGCTTCATCTTCGGCTATGGAGACGAAGACCTTCGTCTCCATGGCCGGAGATGAAGGGGACCTTCGCCACTTCGTCTCTATGGCCAGGAGACGAAGGTTCGTCTCCGGCTGGCTTCATCTCCTAGCCATGGAGACGAAGGGGCGAAGGTCCCCTTCGTCTCCGGCCATGGAGACGATTCATCTCCCGCCGTTCTTGTTTATTTATTTATTTATTTTTAATATTTTAATTAATTATTTTATTTAAAATTATTTTTAAAAATAATTTTTAAAATTGGTAACCGTCACTTCAGGTAAACAGGTAATTTTGGATTGAATTGCATAAATTTGTGTTGTTCAAGGACCTAATTGCATTGTTTTTAAGTTCGAAGGCTTAATTGCACTTCGGTGTGCAATTAAATGGCTTATTTGACACTTGTTCCTATTAAAAATGTATATTGTATTCAGGAAAAGTACATTATTTGAGTACTAAAAGAACATTATTTTGTATAATGTGCATTCAGTACACAAATAATGTACTTTTAGTATATCAAAAATGTACTTTTTTGTTATGATTCACAGAACATTGTGTGGACTATAATTTGCGAATAAGTAGATCCCCATACATGAAAAAAAAGACATGCAATATTTATTAATACAAAATACTTATTTTCTCTATATTCCTCTATACTCATTATGCTATTGACTGTCTAAAAGTCATAAAATCAACAAATTGCATGAATTTTTGAAAACAAAGGGAATTATTTAAATAAAATTAAATAAATAAATAAATAAATACCTTCATGTTCTTGTGAAGCTCTTCGAATCGAATGCTCCCATTTCCGCCATTGTCTTATCTATGTATAAGAATTAAGAAAGTAAGATTGATATAATGAAAGTAAATTCACATGTTGAAATAATTATTATATAATAATATTATTAATTTATTTCTATTCTATTAATAGAAATTATAGATATATAATTTTTATTTTTTTCACATTAGCAAGTGCATAATATTTTTTATTATTTTTAATTTTTAACAATTTAGTAATGTTTATAATGATGGTGCATGGTTTGAAAAAAAAAAAGTTTTCAAAACAAAAAATCAAAATGTTTCTCTAAGTAACATTTGTTTAGGATTGAAAATGCTAAGCTGCTAATGAGTTTTCAAATGAATTTTTTTTTTTTCCAAATGGTCTATCATGAATATTGTCCACAAAGAGATTTTCAAAATCTAAACTAGCAAATTAAAGTAAGTATAATTCTATTAAGTTATAATTTCACATTTATTATTGATATAATGTTATATGAATATATTATTACTAAATGTTAATTATAATCTGCAAGAAAAATTACCCTAGCTCCTCCGAGGAGCATGGTTGTGACACAGAAGATAACATGAGCAAGAGCCATAATAAATATAAATATGTGCAGTTGATGCAGCGCCTCCAACGACATCATCGGCACCTTTCCCTACATAAACGTACCAAATCAACAACTCTATCACCCAAAAAAAAAAAAAAAAAAACAATCACAACCAAGGGAAGGGATCAGTTGCGCGAATGGCTTCCCATGCGGTTGTATATGATTAGACGCAACACACGCACATTAAGCACACAAACAGAACACCTTAAGAACACAAATCACGCACCTTAAGCACATAACAAAACACCTTAAGAACACAAACTACGCACCTAAGGTTTTAAAAATGGTTCACTTTAAGTTTCACACAACTGACGCATCTTAAGCATACAAATCACACACCTTAAGGATGAAAACAACGCACATTAATAAGGAAACTCACGCACCTAAGTTTCAGCAACTACTCACATTAAGCACAAACCCACGCACCTTAAGCACAAAACTCACGCACCTTAAGCACAAAACTCACGCACTTTAAGCACAAAATCCACGCACTTTAAGCACAAAACTCACGCACCTTAAGTTTCAACAACTACTACCATTATGTACATAACTCACGCACCTTAAGCACAAAACTCACGCACTTTACGCACAAGACTCACGCACCTTATATACAAAACTCACGCACCTTAATCACAAAACCACTCACCATAATTTTGACCTAGATGCAAAAATTACCAAATTGCCACTGCGTTTTAAAAAAAAAAAAAAAATTTGGTAATCTTGGACGTTGATTTAAGCAGAATCAATGGCTCTGTTTTAACCGCACAACCGCACCTGGGGTTGTCCATCGCACCTGAACCTGGTGGTCAAGTTATTTATTTCCTAAACAGGTTCAACTCTCAACAGGAGTGATCCATTGGCCTTCTTAGTTTGAGCTATTAAGTTATTTGTGATTCTTTGTCGGCTAGGGTCACAAGACGACTTTTATCCCATGTACATCTTTGACTAATGGCTGCGAGTTTCTCTCGTCACCCAAAATAAAAAAGAACTAATAAAGTAACACTTTCAATTAGTGTAAATTATTATTAAGGAAAATGCCATTTTTTCCCCTCTATCTGAATTATATGCTTATAGTGCTTTTTCTTCATGAATTATTCATGTATCCACATTAGCCCCTCAATTATTGTAAAAGTAACAGTTTTCTCCCTTTTTCTATTAAATGGACATTTTTACCATTGAAATAAGTATTTTATTTATTTTTCTTCTCCGACAAATTATTACTTATATGTAGGGATGACCACAGTTTAATTTGAACCGAACTGAAAGGTTCTGGTAACAATTTAGAACCGGAACTCAATATTTTGGTTTTGGTTTATTAAAATCGCAACAATCGGCTGAACCAAAAAAAAAAATAAAATAAATTAATTGTTGAATTCCCAATTAGCAGCTGGCTGATACGTACGTTTGTGAAGTGACAGTACGTACGTAGTACATTGAAGGATTATGGTATATATATAGGTGTTGTAAAAATCGGTCTAGGTAGCCACCTAGGCGGTAGGCACCTTTAGGCCGAGGCGATTTCAACCCTAGACAGTTTTTAGTAGGCCGATCGATTAGGCGCCCTAGGCGAGTGATTTTTTTTTTTTTTGCCTACTCGGCTACTCCTCTTCTATTTATATTTCTCCAGTCATTTACTCAACTAACCATCTAACATATGTAGTTGACTAGTTTGGGGGATTATAACAGTCTAACAACTCCCAACCCTGAGTGAGAAAAGTAGAGATCAGACCATATACTCAGATTATTTTGCCACTTAGGTGGCACCTAGGCACCGAGCTGGCACTCAACTCGGCGAGTGTTTTTATTTTTTTTTTGTCTCGACTACTCCTCTTCTATATTCTTCCAGCAAGGCACTCAATTAACCATCTAACATATATAGTTGACTAGTTTGTGCGATTATAACGGCCTAACAACTCTCAGCCCTGAGTGAAAAAAGTGAAGACAAAATACTCAAATTACTCTGTCACATAGGTGGCGCCCGACTAGCGCCTCCTGCAACATTGATATATATAGTGTATTGTATTATACCTTGCGTGCACAATTTTGTATGCTTTGATCATGAGTGGTCAAAAGCCTTCTCATCATAGTGGTAGCGTGTTGGGCGGGAGTTTCCTCCTCCTCCTCAGACCTCCGTTTCTTGCATGGAAGCATGATGGTTGACAAATGGTGAGGAATACACATGTATTTTGTTAGCCCTTGTGACACCGTTAACAGCAGTGAAATAAATCCTAAAAGCATCAACTCTGCACAACCAATTTATGAATAACTAATAACATCCAATTTTTGAAATCACTCATCATATCCAATCCAAAAAAATTAAGGAGGCTATCTTAATTAGGAGCCACTTATATATACAAACCTTCCTTGAGCTTCTGCAAGGCTTCAAACAGTGCCTCTTGGTCCTTTCTCTTGAAAAACTGGATAAATATCAAGTAAATTAAATTAAAGTTAAGGGGAGAAAAGGATTGATTGTGGTTGGGTAAATAGTATAGAGAATAATAAATAAAAATACCAGTCCAAGTTTATGGAGGCCACGCTCGGCTAATAGGGAGAGGAGGACGATGACGGAGCAAAAAACGGCGACAACCCATGTGGGAGTATACTCAAAAGATGGAGGCTCTGCAGATTCCTCCGCCATTATTGTTTGTTTGAGATGCGATTGAGCTGATCCAAGAAACAAGCTAATTAATTAAGATATACATACATATATATTTAGAAAGAAGGTAAGCTAGAAGTGGAAGGAAGGAATGGATTGAAAGAAGCTAAGGGCAAAGCATATGTATGGGAGAAGGAATTGAAGCATGGCAGTGAGACCAAGCAAGGAATTGGAACATTAAGGCTGCGGTGACCACCTAACGTACCATTAGAATGAAAGGAATTGGTCCCCAGATAGTTTAATTGGTCATAGTGATGAAATTTGTTACAAGAGATTAATTATATTATAAAAGCAACTTCTCAAAATGAAAGGGATCATTGTGCATATAATTTAGCCCTTCATAAACTGATAGGCCGGAGTGTGGGGCGCCTAATATTAGCAATTCCACCTATGTCAGAAGAATGGAAGGAATTGGATTCTTTGCAAATTTGATTTAGGAATAAATTAAAGTAAAAATTAAACTAACAATTTGCGCGCATCTTTACGTGAATCATACAATACAATAATTGGTCCCAACCCAATCCAATAGAATTATGTTGTGAGCACTCGCCCACCTTAACTTATAAGGTGTGCACGATTTTATATTCATAATTTTTATACTGTAGATTCATAATTTCTATACTGTAGATTCATAAAATTTATACTTTAAATTTCAATTGTTGAACTATGTTTTCACAAATCAAAGAACTATATGTTCATAATTGATAACTATATAATTTAGAAATTATGAATTTACAGTACAAAAATTATGAATCTATAATGGCAAATTATTGTATGGACCATGGTCCACACAATGTTATGTAGACCATAACAAAAAGTACATTTTTAATATATTAAATGTACATTATTTTTGTACTGAATGTATATTATACAATATAATGTACACTCAGTACAAAAATAATGTACATCCCCTAAATACAATGTACATTATTTTTGTTCTGAGTGTACATTATTTTTGTACTAAATGTACATTATTTTATAGTATATAAAATATGGTCCACACAACTTGTATGGACCATGGTCTACACAATAATGATTCATCTATAATACAGATATTATTAATCGGCAGTATATAAATTATGAATCTACTGTATAGAAATTATGAATCTATTGTATAGAAATTATGAATCTACGGTTTGAAAATTATGAATCTAAAGTATAAATTTTATGAATCTATAGTATAGAAATTATGGATCTACAGTATAGAAATGATGAATCTACAGTATAGAAATTATAGATATGGAACTGTACACACCTTGCAAGGTGGGCACGTGCTCACAGCATAACGTTCCCTATTATAACACTGTAAATGTTTTTTAGAAAATAATTTAATTTTTAGAAAATAATTTAATTTTTAAAAAATTAAATATTTTTGTTTGGTCCAAACCCAACCCAATATCTAATTTATTGGTTATTGATAAATATAAAAAAAAAGTCTAAATTAAAGAAATTATACAAAAAATAATAATTTTTTTGGGAGGGGATTATGAGCTGGGGCAAGAATATATTTTTATTGTTTAGCCAAACATGCATAATCAAACTCATATTTTAACTTAACTAACATAACCTATTTCAAATATTAACAAGACATGCTCAAAGGAAGATCGAGAGGGATAGAGCAAAGCATTAGATAGGAATTCAGAAAATGTCTTGTAAAAATTTAAAAAGGCATTTTTTGTCAAAATAGGTCATTTTTTCTTTTAACAAGTATGAGTGTTTTTCATTACCTTCATTTTCTTTTGATAGTCAAATATTAAAAATTTTTAAATTGACTTTCAAATGCCATTTTCTGAGTTTTCAAATATATACCCTCAGTTGTATTTCTTTCCTTCATGTAATATAATTTAGTGGAATTCACCTTTTATTTCGATTTTCGAATGACTAAGGAGTAATCATGTAAAACGTAAAAAATATTACCATATTATATATCTATTAATCTATATATATAAATAAATTAAATGCATGTTTAATGTTTGTATGTGTTGTGAAATTGGATGCATCCTTATGTGAATTGGTGTATCATCCAGATTATTGCAGGAATATAGTAAAGTGAAGACTAGATACAGAGAATCATTCATTTATTAATCATCCTTCTGTATAATATATAAAATATACAGAATTCTAGTATAACTACTGTTAGAATATAGCGGAAGCGAATAATCGAAAATTGAGAATTATGAAAGTTAAATAATATAAATAAGGAAAATTATATAAATAGCAAAAGAATAACGAACAATGGGAAATAAATAAATAAATATATATATATATATATATATATATATATATATATATATATATATATATATATATATATATATATGTATATATATATATATATATATATATATATATATATATATATATATATATATATATATATATATATATATATATATATATATATATATATATATATATATATATATATATAGAATCGCACTCAGGTGCGAATGCTTCGCCCAGGCGCGAAATAGGAATGAATTCTGTTCGTCCACGTGTCCAGATCTAATGGATGAGAAACACTGATTTTTTTTAAAAACGCGGTGGCATTTTCGTAAATAATTGAACATCGAAGTGCAAGTAAAGTGTATTACAAGTGCATGTAAAATATGTTGGTGATAATGAACCACAATCGATTTAATATCCCAAAAATAATATTTATATATACACACACTAGTATATAAAATATTATTGGATATTTATCCGAAATATATATATACACACAAATGTATATAAAATGGATCCAAAGGTTATATATACATGTATATCTACGAAAAAGATATACCAATATATATCAACCAAAATTGAAACTAATAATCCTCAGATTATGAGTCCAATCCAAATAAAATATCAAAAAGGAGAGAACGGATTTTTGCTTAAGAGCATAATCCAAACAAGAAAGAAGGAGAAGGAAGAAAGAAATGTAAGAGTTAGGCAAAGTGCCTTTCTTTCCTTAAAACCTTATTTGCCACCTCCCAAAAGTGCTAGAAGCGTTGTGGCCTAGGTCTCCCAGGATAAAACGTACAACGGTTCGACGTTTGAGCACCCAAACGAACGAACCCGGCGAACAAGAGCACGGGCAAAACACGGCTTCAAGAATGGAGTAGAAGCAGAAGTATTTTGAGGCTTGGAAAAATTATTTTTCTTGTGTGTTTTTGTTACTTTTCCCTTAGAAAAATTATGCTGCACTCTACCCCTTCTTATATAGGGAATGAGGAGTGAATAGCCTTTATTATGGCATTTAGAGGCATCCCTACAACTCTTGTAACATCAACCATTAACATAGGTTTTAATTCAAAAATTGAAATTGGAATTAATTCAAAATTAATTCCATAACAGCTGAATTAAATCCCAACAGTCACAAAAAAGAGTTTTCGATTCGTGTACACTGCATAGTTTCGGCCACAGCCTTCTCAATGTTTCGGCCATTTGGCCGAAACTTTGAAAATTCAAAGTTGTTCGGCCAATTGTGGCCGAAACTGCCAAAACTTCATTGCAAATTGGCCAAAACCTTGAAACTGCTGTTTCAATAATTTCGGCCGAAACTAATAACAACAATAGTTTCGGCCACTTGGCCGAAACCAACAATAACAACACGAAACTTTCGTGGCTTTGTCTGAATTGGAAAATGAGACTTGGCATACGAGATTAGGATTGATCCAAGCCTTTTTGATTTCATTTTGGGATTTGATTTGCACCTCCCTGCGCACGAGAGAGAGCCTCTATACTATACAATTCAATAAGCTTAAAAAGAGCTCTTGTATAAATAGTTGGGCAAATCTTCTTCCTAAACCAATGTGGGACAAAAGCTCACTTTTTCCCTTCATTTTCCAACTCAAATGGGTCTACTTTGAGAATCAATATCTCATTCACCCATTATCCGTTTTGAGCATACAATATATTAATATCTTCGTCTTACTACGAAGAACCCAAATCCACTTTGACCCGACCCAAATTAGAAGTGGACCCCACTGATAATTGTACCACAAAATAGCCACTTAATATGCCATTTTATACCATTTTAAGCTATTTTTTCCAACAATCCCCCACATGAATGAAAATTGATTTTCAGGGTATTTTGAAATCGGAAACAATCTGTGTTCAACGGTCGATCCCTGCATAGGATAGGTAGGGATCACTATACCCTTTGAACCTTCCCTTGTAAAGATATGTTTACTCTACTAGCTGTACGGTAGAACGCGATGTCTTTGAACCGACTGCCGTTTGTGTAGACGATAACATATCTCACACAGGAACCTCCCAACCATGCTCTGTTCTCATGAGTGTGCCCATTTTGGTCGTGGGTCACCGTCCTGGTTCTGCAAGAGTTTGTGAAGAATTGTGCCCATCAATTCTCCTTTGAAGTGACCCTCACTTCTCTCTCACATAGGTGATTCTTTTCCGAGTATCCCGCATACTCACACATGTCAATCGACATTCGAATCATTAAAGCACCAACGTGCTAGCCTTGTGCGGGAGTCACCGTTTCTAACGAAGAGTGGTAGGAAGTCCGAGACCCCTACAGTGACACGCTCCGTTCCATAATTTAGTTGTCCCATTGAACCTAGGTGCTAGCTAGGTTGGGTATCCACTATAGAACTTTTAGTCCAAGGGCTTTAGACCCATTCCTCGTTCCAATTTCTCCACAACCATTTGCTTACCCTCGGGTTAGCGAGTTAGCGGCCGCTACGTTATCTTTTGACATCACGTAGTCGATAGAGATAACCCCTGTTGTGAGAAATTATTTAATGGTATTATATCAACGACTTATAAGTCTAAACTTACCATTCCACATCTAACTCTGTACTTAACCAATTTTGGCTTGACTATCGCAATGCATACAAATTGGAAGTACGAGTTTACCACCAGAAACATTCTCGAAATAATGTCCTAGCCATTCGGCCTACTCGCTCGCGATACGAGTGTAAGGCTCTCAGCTTTGATCCCGTCGGATCTTAGCTATCACAAATTCATTTCGAGAATTTCCGTCCAACCGACTGCACTGGCCTACGTAAAGACGTAGCCTTTGATGGACTTAGCGTCCTTTGATATCCGTGCTATACTTTCCAAGTACGGCTAGATATCCCACGTTGTGCAGTCCAAAGTCACAAGCATACATAAGTATCTC